CGCCCACCTGCGTGACATTCGCCCCCGCCTGCGTGCGCCGCTGGCCGACTATTCGGTCAATGTCGCGGTGGCGGACACGTCTCCTGGCCGCGCGGTGGCCCGCACTGGCCCGATGAGCAGCATCGATCTGTGCGACGCAGGCTGTTTGCACGCCGGCGCAGGGTGGGTGGGGAGAGGCGCGACCGCCGCCGGCGGGCAAGCCCGACGCACTCGGCGGAAATCGTCCGAGCTGCTCCGCGCTGCCGGCCGGCGGACGCTCTTCTGACGAGCGTCGGCTTCTGCTGGACAACTCGTGGGAGGTGTTCGAGCATGGACGCGCTGGCCAGCCAGCGCATCGGCCAGCCAGAGGGTCGGCGTGTTGGGGCCTGCGCTCGCCGCGCGTCCCCGGACCTGGCGCCGGTCCCGCGCTCCACCGGCTCGCACAGTTCCGCCGCCGATCCCTGGGGTGGCTGCGCTCCGTGTGGCTGATTGGACAGAAGAGCCTCGGACCGAGGCGGCTGAAGCCGTCATACGCACGCCTGTTAAGCCGTGCGTGTCGAGATCGGCACCGGAGGCTGGCGTCCAGGCAGGCGTCGGGTGACGCGACATGTAGGACGACCGCGCCACCTTCGGGCGATGTTGTTAGGTGGCGGACCGTACCGCCACGCGTTGGGACGTGTGGGACGCCCATCGTGAGGAGGCTGACAGTGTCACCAGGTGATGGGCGGCCATTACCAGATGCTGCGCGGTTGTCAGCTGGTGTTGAACGGCGCTGGGCGGCCATTGCTGTGCGTGAGTGGGCCTCGGGCTCGGGTTTTTTCCGCGGCCGACCCGTTCGGCTGCGCGTGACGGGCACGGGTGGTTGATGGCCTTGCCTGGTTGTCTTCCTCTGCAGCCAGGCAGCGGCGTCCGGTGATCCCCTGTGGGATCGGACGCGCGCAATGGAGCTCTTTTCCAATAATGGCTCACTACCGATGTCGCCCAACAATGACAGCTACTCCATAACGTGAATGTTTTTCTTTGTCCTTTTTGGCGGGCTCGCTTTCCTTACACAGAGAATAAGCATGCAGAGTCTGCGAATGTTCGCTGTGTCATGCCTTGAGCAAATCTCTCTCCTGCTCAGACGGATACGCAGACACTGTGGTGACCGGCAGCACGCTCTTCACTCGTAAGTCATGGGCATCACTGGCGAGGCGTTAGTAAAACCACTGTTGATGTACGCTTCTATGCGACTGCCTGCTCTGCGGACTCCTGGGGACGACTGCTCGCCTGCTCTCCTGGGGACGACTGCTCGCCTGATCTGCGGACTCCTGGGGACGGCTGCTCGCCTGATCTGCGGACTCCTGGGGACGGCTGCTCGCCTGATCTGCGGACTCCTGGGGACGGCTGCTCGTCCGCCAGCACTGTGCTCGCTGACCCTGACATCTTGTGTTCCAGTCTCGGAGCGACTCACTGGCCAGCGTGTACTCGGCGGGCGAGGCGCGCTACGGCACGGTCCCGGTACGCGGTGACCTGGAGCTGGCGCTGCAGTACAACTACCAGCAGAGCGCGCTCGAGGTCACCGTCAAGCAGTGCCGCGATCTGGCCGCTGTCGACGCCAAGCGCAACCGCTCCGACCCGTAAGTACCGGTCGCGCCAGCAGGACGGGACGGGACGAGACGGGACGCGACGGGACGCGACGGGACGTGACGGCACGGGACGGGGACGGGGACGGGGACGGGGACGGGGACGGGGACGGGGACGGGGACGGGGACGGGGGCGGGGGCGGGACGGGACGGGACGGGACGAGAGACGGGACGGGACGTCGGGTCGGGACAGGACGGGACGGGTCAGGGGTCGGGTCGGGTCGGGTCGGGTCGGGTCGGGACGCTGGCCTCAGCCTCCGGCGGCCCGGTACCGTGGTCGCTACTCCATCGATTAGGCGCGAACTCACACATGTCAATGGCTGTATTTTGCTATGAAATTAATAAAGCCAGGCAGTTACCCTCGTATTTGGTCGTGCCGGTCGCTCATTTAGTTAGAGCACCTGCCTTCCGATTCATCCACCCCGACTGGGGTAGTACCGAGTCACTGTAAGCGATCGCAATGAGTCCGTGGACTGCGATGGGCCTGCGGCCGGCGGCAGCAGCCGCGCTAAAGGTCAGGTGGCTTCAAAGGGCAGCACGGACCGTGCCGAGCATTGCGGCACGTTGAGCTTTCGTCGCAAAATTGTACTGCTGACCTGAAATTTTGCGATCGGGTGTTGGCGCCAGGGGTTTACAAACAAGCTATTGTTGATATGGACTGCGGTCCGGAAAATCCACCAATCGAAGGGCCTTGAAGTAATCAAAGGAATATATCAATGAAAAGCAAAGGGCCAGCTCGTGGAAGGCTGTTTTTACTCATTCGCAGCTTTGATGAGCCATGATTGCCCGGCCGCCTTTGCTTGGCGGTGGCGCTACTGTAGGTTGCCACCAAGGCTTCACGACGCACCCGGGGGCAACGCGTCGCCTGTTTCTTTCCCCGGCAGGAACGACAAGTATGGCGCATAACCGGGGGGCGATATTCTTCCTGTAGTCCGGTTTGGCGACATTGTTGCTCGCGAACAATGTCGCCAGGCTGTAAAGCGGTTAGCCAATGCTGGCTGATCAAAGGTGCAGTAGCTGAGTAAAAGGCTGCCCTTGCACCGACATCATATTTCAATCTAGACAGCCCTACCCCCCACCCCCCCCCCCCCCCACACACACACCGCTTACATGGCTCAGACTAAGTTGACAGGCAAACAAATATCAACGTTGGGACCGAAAGCTTGTTCTATCTTCGAATTGTTTCATTTTATAGTAAACCGCAATGCAAGTGTTGGCATGATAAGGAGCATGATTTGCCTCATGAAAACGTCGACCTTGCCAGAGTCCGCGCCCATTTCAGAACGTACCTAAGCGGCGTTAGGCTTGTGCGCTGTACAGGCGCCGCGCGCCATGGGTCCCGCGTTTATTTGGGTCGTGTCAGCTCTTGAAGGGACGTGTCGCGGCGGGGAAATGATGATGACCGTGGAGCCGCGGGGTTGAAGGCAGTGATGTACCGCGGTTACGGTGATGTTGCGGTGCACGACGAAATTCCGTTTGCGATGTGTCCGCCTAAACACTGCGCATGGTCGCACCACCACCGGCCCGTCAGACTACCACCAGCCCGTCAGACTACCACCTGCCCGTCAAAGACCACCACCGGTTCGTCAAAGGCCACCATCGGCCCGTCAAAGACCACCACCGGCCCGTCAAAGACCACCACCGGTTCGTCAAAGGCCACCATCGTCCCGTTAAAGGCTACCACCGACCCGTCGAAGACATCCACCGGCCCGTCATGGACCGAGAGAGATCCTTTAAAGCCGCGTGCCGTCCAGAACCGTCCTGACTTGCAGATGAGCACCTGCTTGCGTTGTTATGCCATGAGACTCACGTGACGGCGCGACCGTCGGCCATCTGTTTTGGACAGGCGACGAGTGACCGCGGCCTGCTATGGAGCATATAAGCCAATATCTCGGCAGAGGGGCAATCCTTGCGTCAGCTTGCCGGGCCCTATCACCGCGGTGGTCGTGTTGCCAACCCCCCGATGGTGGGATTCGACAAGGCCGACAGAGCCAGGGCGCTGATGAGGCAATTTCAATCCATCGATGGTTTTGGGCTGGCGTCGCGCGTGAGTCCTTGTCGGTTCTTCCTTTTTCGGAAGCGGTGATGTGTCTCAACGGCGAGGCATTCTCTGCGCTGTACAGACGGTCGGACATCTGACGTCCTGTGACGCCAGACAGACGGCGGTACGACGGGCGTGTTAATCCGGACACCAACAGACGGCGGGGACTACGGGCGTGTTGGTCCGGACACCAACAGACGGCGGGACTACAGGCGTGTTGGTCCGGACACCAGCAGACGGCGGCGGCACTACGGGCGTGATGGTCGGACACAAACAGACGGCGGGACTACAGGCGTGTTGGTCCGGACACCAGCAGACGGCGGCACTACGGGCGTGATTGGTCCGGACACCAACAGACGGCGGGACTACCGGCGTGTTGGTCCGGACACCAACAGACCGGCGGTACGACGGGCGTGTTAATCCGGACACCAACAAACGGCCCGGCCACTACGGGCGTGTTGGTCCGGACACCAACAGACGGCGGTACTAGGGGCGCGATGGTCCGGACACCAAACAGACGGCGGTACGACAGGCGTGTTAATCCGGACACCAGCAGACGGCGGGACTACGGACGTATTGGTCCGGACACCAACAGACGGCGGGACTACGGGCGTGTTGGTCCGGACACCAACAGACGGCGGTACGACGGGCGTGTTAATCCGGACACCAACAGACGGCGGGACTACGGGCGTATTGGTCCGGACACCAACAGACGGCGGGACTACGGGCGTGTTGGTCCGGACACCAACAGACGGCGGTACGACGGGCGTGTTAATCCGGATACCAACAGACGGCGGGACTACGGGGCGTGTTAATCCGGACACCAACAGACGGCGGTACGACGGGCGTGTTAATCCGGACACCAACAGACGGCGGCACTACGGGCGTGTTGGTCCGGACACCAACAGACGGCGGGACTACGGGCGTGTTGGTCCGGACACCAACAGACGGCGGGACTACGGACGTGTTGGTCCGGACACCAAACAGACGGCGGGACTACGGGCGCGTTGATCCGGACACCCACAGACGGCGGGACGCGTGGTCGGGTCCGCCGATGACGCGGTCGGATTGTGCCCGCTGATTGGTTGCCCGCCGCGTGATGCCTCCCGCGGCCCAATAGCCGTCGCATTCCGACAGCTGGCTGCTGCTAACAAGGCCCTGTGCTGCTAATGACATCAGGAAGCGTCGAGATGTCTCCGCTTAGGGGCTGGGATATCCGAGAGCCATTTGTCACAATAATTATGCCTCTGCTGTTTTTCGTTGCACGACGTTGTTTTTGCGGTCGCGCGCTGGTGCCTGGTGGCCGTTTTTCACAATAACTAATGGGGTGTTGCCAACTTAGATGAAAAATTGTAATACGTTATTCACGTCCTATTGTAACCCGTTTATGTTGTTACGATTAATTCAAACCACAACTTTGATAAAATTTAATGGAATTTGGTATTGTAGATCGTCATGTGTGATTGGCTCGCATGAGCTGGTGAGCCAATTAGGCCGGAGCTAAAATTGTTTGTTTTTGTTTCAGCTATGTGAAGGCCTATCTGCTACCCGACAGATCTAAGAGTGGCAAGAGGAAAACAAAGACGAAGAACATACGCTGCATCCCGTGTTCGACGAAGTGCTCAAGGTGGGGGCAGACCATTATAAAATGGCCCATGAACCACACCGCTGTTCAAAATCATGGTTATCTGACAAACTGCCGGCATGCGCTGTTACTGAACATCTACAAAGCTGTATTCTTGGCTGTTGGATGTCCACCTACTCACCTGAGACGCCCACCTGTGCCTGTGGCTGATAACGCAATCGTCTTTAACCATTGTTCCATTGTCGGCTTATAATGGCTATCGTTTTACCGTGTCAATGTGCCTCTCAACTGTCTACCTGCGCCTTTGTTTTGCGTTTTGTGGACAGACTGAGGCCTTTATCGGCCTTCTTTGATCGGCAATAATTTGGTCACGAATGATAATTGTTGGAAATTTCTCAGATGGCTGGCCAAAGTGTACTGCAGAAAACGTGCACTCTGGTAGGGGTCAGTTCGCCCCCTACACAAGGCTTTTTCCAAAATAGCTGCGAAATGGTGTGGCGTAGCCACGCCAAACTACGTATTGCCGTTGGCACCATAATGCTGATACGAGTGCCAACGTCCAGTGAAGACAATTCCTTGGGAATCTTTCCAGCTGATGCGACAGTGGAGTGTTAGACAAAGCCATGCAACTTTGAGATGATCTTTTAGACAATGCACCTATTGAAATAAGAATGATGACTCATTTGTTATCATGAGTCAGATATGAAGGTTGATCAAGGTCAAAACCAAACTGTTTCTGCTGGAAAGCTGCATTTGCAACCTAGTTATCGAAGCCTTTTTCTAATTCCTCGATCACAAGGACGTCAACAGATTTCTCAAGTTAACTGCATGTAGGCCAGGGACGCTCAGTGACCTAAAACTGCGTTCAACCTTTTGCTTTTAGGAACATGCCATCTTGAAATGATCTTGACGCTGACTTGGAAGTCAAGTATCAAAATTGTCTGGCCGGTTTTTGGCCACTTGGGGTTCTAAATGCCCAAAACGGTCGCTGATCTGGCATAAATACAACTGACATTTTGCTTGGGAGCGGCATCTTAGTTAAACTGGTTGCGTGGGAAGGTCTGGGGACACTTGTTTGTGCAACATCGATTTTAAGTTTGACCTTGTGTGACCCCATCTGACCCGAGGGTCACGGCCCAGGGCCCTAAAAATATGACTCAGACGAGCTCGTACAAGCTGAAATCTAGCGTGGCGATATGGCTTTTCTAGTTCTCTCAGTTACTTGCATTTTAGCGGTGATGAATTGACCCTGCCCCGACTCGAGCGCATTGTATTTAATCGGCCATCTGGGCGCGTAATCATGACCGTTGCTTCCTGCATATACACGTCGTCCAGTCGGAGCCACGAGATATGGCAGCTATGCCCGACAACGCTCACCCCGTTGCGTTGATCCGTCTCCACTCGTCCCATCACCTCATACCCTTCCTTTGATCCGTCTCCACTCGCTCTATCATCTCATACCCTTCCGTTGATCCGTCTCCACTCGCTCCATCACCTCATACCCGTGCCGCGCATCTGTCTCCGTCTGTGCGTCTGTGCTGGCCGTTCGCTCTGGCAGCCTGTGCGCTGACCCTGATGTGACCCGGCCGTCGCCTCCGGCAGTTCCCCGCGGTCGTGGCGGAGCTTGACAGCCGCACCCTCTGGGTGACCGTCTGGCACAGCGACATGTTCGGCCCGCAACGACTTCCTCGGCGAGCTGGTGCTGCCCATCGGGCGCCAGATGTTCGAGGACAGCAGTCCGCGCTGGTACACACTCCAGGAGCGCGTAAGTCGACCCGTCGGCGAACGCGGCGTGCCTTGTGGCCCGGCTGCTGGCCGTGGGGCAGGTGTGGCAGGTCTCAACACGTTTAGAGCTCGTGACTGGCGAGAGAGCAGAGGGCCATCGGTCGAGATATCCGCGCGCCCAACGCCATCTCGTGGAATGGGGCGTAACGCGACCAACGACGTGGCCGTCGCAGATGTGGCTTTTGCGACACCGCCAGCGGTCCTGCAGTGACTGGGTTGTGTGAGGCTGGGCAAGAGGCGTGGATGGGCTTATGACGAGATGAGCCGTGTGACCACCCACGAGTTTCTCACAATGCCCTTGAACGCTGACTGGACGCTATTGACTATGTAGGATGAAGCAGGTCGGTGCCCGACCGAACTGTCTAAAAGGTAGGCCTTGAAGGATTTTCATGAGCATCCCCCAGCCAAGCCATCGCAGCACTTTTCTAACAACCATGCGTCGCCTCTTCCAGTTGTCCTACTTAGAGCCTTGTCTTCGCTTTAGTACACTCACGGCTGTCCCTGTACCACAGCGCAAGGAGTTGATCCCGGCTTAGTCTTCGCGATGCCGCACATTTTGATTCAGTTTCGTGGCCGACCTTTATCCGCTTGGGACTGGCGGCGCGCCGCGGCAGCCCCTGCCGGCGACAGCACCTGCGCTTCTCCCTCCCACGCAGTGATGCCCCGTGATCAGCCGACCGCCGCTGCGCTGTATCGACCGGCGGCGGCCGTCTATCGCGCGCCGCTGCCCCGCGCCGCCTCCTCCTCCCGAGCCCGCCTCCGCCGGCATTAGCATGACCGCAAGCAGCCAGCCCGAACCGGAAGCGGCCACTTCCGGCGGCGGCGGCACCTTCACAGGGGCACGTGCACGCGACGGGCGCAAGGGGAGTGGGATTAGTCGCTCGTCGTGCGCGACGCTGCCGGTTTGTGGTGGTTGGGGGCACGTGCTGCATCGTGCCGATACAGAGCCCGGTTTCGGGCGTGTTGTGTGTGGGGCTGCATGCGATTTATGTAATTATTTTCAAGGCACGTGATAACCTTGAAAAGTGAAAGCGTACTCCTTGCAGGGACATCTTTTTACCTTTTAGACGGGGATGCGCATTTGGCTGGCCTCCTTACAGTTTTGTACGTATTGTGTTGCGCGTGCCTTACTTGCCCGGCTCAAAAATTCAGATTGTTGCGGACTATAATTTTTTTTTTAAAGCTGTGGCCATACGATAAGTATGTTTTTTAGAAGGGCTCCTCGATATGTTTGCTTTGACAGGCTTTTTTTCCGTGAAAAAGCAAGCCACTGACTGAAAAAATCTAGTCAGATTTTGCGATGAATGCCTTTTTCTGAGACAGTTTTCCACCGCACTTCACTTTAATTTCGGACACTCATGGAGCCGACCCAGAATCTACTGAGGGCATGCGACTGAGCCTTTGTCTGCTGCCGGTGATTCCCGATGCCATAGTGTGTGCGACAGCTTGCCCGTGACTGGCTATGCGATAATACGTGGCTACATACAGACTGTAAGTGTCCCGGTGAATGGAAACCTTGGTCGCCGCATCGCGGCGCGACTGTGGTGGCGTATTACTTGTAGTGTACACTTGTACTATGCAGGTGGTAATTGACGCTATGACAGTGGGTACAAGTGGTCCGCGCACCAAACGAAGCCAGACCCACCATTAGCCGTGGAAGGAGGAGTCGATGTTATCGTGAAGGCTCGTGCCTACCGATCGATGGCGGTAATATGACGGAGGCTTGGCCCGGCTTATGGTGAGCCGCGTAGGCAGCCCAACCCTGTTGACATGGTGATTAAGGAGCGGTGATCATGGACAGCCAGCTGCTGAAAGCCCGGTCAAAGCTGGGGATCCCGAGCATGCGCATGTCTAGCATCTGGTGGCAAAAGATAGGCGTTCTTTTTCAGGTACGCATGCCAATGATTATATATATATATATATATATATATATATATATATATATATATATATATATGTGTGTGTGTGTGTGTGTGTGTGTGTGTGTGTGTGTGTGTGTGTGTGTGTGGGTGTGTGTGTGTGTGTGTGTGTGTGTGTGTGTGTGTGTGTGTGTGTGTGGTGTGTGTGTGTGTGTGTGTGTGCATGAATTAACGATAAAACACGCATTTATTGCTTTACATATATATATATATATATATATATATATATATATATATATATATACACCAGAGCACTGTGATGAGAGAGAATGGAACCCACGTGGTGTTGACTTCCCTATGAACCCCTTCATTACTCCTCGATTTAACCACGAACACGTTTTTTCACTCGGGGGGGTGGGGGGGAAGGGCGAGTCTTGCCCCACCCCACCTCACCCACCCCACATCCCCGTCCCGAGCGCAGCCCTGCTGCCCCCGGGCTGTGAACTGATCGGGCTATTGTCCATATCTTGTTATCATGTTATTGTGTCGTTCCTTCAAATGGGAAATACACCAGCGCTGTGGTGTGGCCGTGCCTCCGGTGTAACACAGCTTTGGATCCAGGCATGGTAACATCCTAAGTACTAGGCTGAGATTGGGAATGTCAGACCTGAATGCCCACCTGTTCAGATCCAAAATCCAACTACACTTAGTCCATTTTGCTTGTGTGACTATCCATACGAAGACCCTAAACACTTTGTACTGAACTGTCCTCGCTATCATGAAATCCGACTTTCAATGCTACGTAAAACTGATGGTATCATTCTGAACTTTTCTGAGCTCACTCACAACGAGCAACTAAGTATCTATCTCAGAGGCAACGTTTTACAGGATCGCAATGGGCAGCACATAGCAAAAAATTTTCCAAACATTTCTTTTTCAGACCAAACGATTTGCCTAAAAATTTCTAGCTGGCGCGGGCAGCAGACGGGCTACTGGGTGGCGTTTCCGGGCCGAGTGTCCGCCGCCGGCCCGAGACGGCTATATGTGTAGACTGGAGCGGCGGCGGGCGCCTGGCCCGTGGCTGCTTATGGATCGGGCGAGCGAGCGGTGTGTCGCGAGTTCCCTGGCGGCGATGACCAGATCTTGTTATTGTTAGAAGAGACGCCCAGATCTAAGCGTTTCGCTTATGCGCCAATCCAGTCATCATATTATGTACTGCTTAATGTCCATAATCTCAAATAAACATCATATCAAATCAAATAAATCGTGTCCAGGTTCTCCGTAAGCTGGCGGGAAGTGGTCTTCGAGACTCGGCCGCGTCTGCTACCAGACACATCCAGTGTATTTCCGCGCCGCACGCCACAGCCTGTCCTGATCCCTGTCCGAAAACAAATGTGATTTTCAGAAGGGCATTCTGTATGCTTACCGAGTGTTACATATTTGAGCGTGTGGCACGTTATGGTACAAACAGGTATGTGGTTGTTCATCACTTTTTGGTCCATACGATGCGACTGCTGCCAGAGAGTGGGAACGAATTTACGCCATTGAAAGGGCTGGAATTACCAGGCAGGGTAGACGGCTGACGACATTTGACTCATTAAGGACAGTAAAGCGGACCTATTGCGACGACGCATATGTCAACAACTCATATTCTGACGCAGCAAGCACGTACAGAACAATCCACCAATTCCAGGGTTTGTCTTTGCATAGTTGAGTATTTTACAGCCGCTAGCTAGCTATTGTCCGGCACTCAGAGGTATTGTTTTTCGGCTGGCGCACAGTTTGCCGTCGACAGGCCAGCGTAGGTACAGTTACCGTACCACGACCGGCCCCGGCTCAGCCCTGACAGCGGGGAAGACTCACCTTCGCTCAGGACACTCAAACAGGGGCCTTCTCCTTTGCCCTCGTGATCTCCCTGGTGCCGACAGCCTTTGTGTCCAGTGCGTGTGTGCTGATCTGGGATTTGGCCGAATATAAATCAGGATGACCTTTCATACTTTTTTTTCCTTGGCAGCTTCATATTTTACCACTTATTTTGCGACTGCAGCCTTCTCTTCCTCCCCAGTATCGGCCCAGTTTTTCAAACCTTATGACAAACACTTCCAGTTTTCAAAATGGAGTAGTTCAGTTCTGCAGCCTTTTCAGTGTAAGATCCAGCTGTTTGACAAAGTTGACCGTTGCACTTGCTAAACCTTTTCAACTTATTTAGATAATCTGCATCGCTGTAAAACAAAACACGGAGACTTTAAAATGCCTCTGCCGTGGGGCGAAAACACTGTAGATCCTGCGCATTGGTTGCAGGGCTGGGGTTTTGCGTTACCCACCATCCTGCCAGGATGAGAGGCAGGCAACGCCATTTAGCCTCAGCAACTGAGTGCTTCGTAAAGCTCCAATGACGACATAGGGTAGAGGTTCCTGGCCGTCCTGTCCATCTCTTGACGCCGCAGAGAAACGTGTCCGCGTTATCTCTCGCGCCGGAGACGCGCCTGACCGCCTCATCTCTCGCGTCACGGAGATACCTGACCGAGTATCTCTCGCACCACAGAGACGGTTGACCCCGTTATCTGTCGCGCCACAGAGACGCCTAACCGCCTCATCTTTCGCGTCACAGAGCGAGATCCAGGAGGAGATGGCCGGCCACCACGGCGACGTGATCGTGGCGCTCAAGTACACGCCGCCGGACGGCAGCCTGGGCCGCAAGGGCCGCAAGACCAAGGGCCGGCTGCACATCATGATCAAGGAGGCCAAGAACCTGGCACCGGTCCGCACCAACGGCTCGGCCCGACCCCTTCTGCAAGTGGTGAGTGACGGAAGCGCAGCGGGGCCAATGGCCGGGATATGCGGTGAGGGTCGGGAGGGCCAATGGCCAGGGGCATGCGGTGAGGGTCGGGAGGGCCAATGGCCAGGGGCCTGCGGTGAGGGTCGGGAGGGCCAATGGCCGGGATATGCGGTGAGGGGCGGGAGGGCCAATGGCCGGGGCATGCGGTGAGGGTCGGGAGGGCCAATGGCCAGGGGCATGCGGTGAGGGTCGGGAGGACCAGTGGCCGGGGACCACGGTGAGGTTAGGGATGACCAATGGCCGGGGGCCTGCTGTGAGGATCGGGAGGGCTAATGGCCAGGGTCTGCTGTGAGGGTCGGGAGGACCCATGGCCGGGGCCTACTGTGAGGGTCGGGAGCACCAATGGCCGGGTGACTATGACTATAATGACTAGGACGGATATGGACTATAGTGATATATATATATATATATATATATATATATATATATATATATATATATATATATATATAATGCAAATAAACTATAGGACTGTAATGATAATGATCAGGAACCCACTGTGAGGGTCGGGACACTCACGGGCTATGGCTGGCGCCTGAAGGCCAGCTCCGCGTCACGTGCGTCGCTCAGCCGCCACCCGCAACGTCTGCACGGGGCAGCTAGTTATGTTAAAATGACATCTCCGTTGGAGCCAACTTCCGCTGTCTACACTCAAAGATAAATGCCAGCGATTTTCACGCAGATCCCAACTACGTCAAATGAGTTTGTTCAGATGACAGGGTATGTTGCTGGCTATGGGTAATGACAGTGCGGTGAGTAATGTTACGGTGTCTAATCTCATTTCACTAAAAGACTGGTGCAAAAAAAAACGCGAAAACTTTGCCTAATAAGCGGCTTATGAAAGTTATCGCTTCCGTATGGCTCTCATCTCGATGGTAGTTATGGCACCCATCTCCGGTGTACATGGCATTATCGTCACTTACATGGAAATAAAAGACAAACGTGATGGAGCATTGACTACTCGGCCATGATCTGTGTACGTAAAAAGTACGTCAGAAGTTGATCTATGGTGTGGACTATCGTGTGTTGTCGGCTTCTGACCATTGGCGGCCGCGTGCGGCAGCTACCTTCTGCCGGACAGAAAAAACAGCAAGCAGAAGACGTCGGTGGTGAAGCGAACCACGTGCCCGCGATGGAGCGGCGCCCTCACCTACGACAACGTCAGCCTGGGAGAGCTGCGTGAGCGTGCGCTCGAGCTCACCATCTGGGATCACAGTCTCACCTCCAACGAGTTCCTCGGCGGTGCCCGCTTCAACACGGGTTCCGGTAAGGAGGGCAGAAGATGCGGCAAGATGAGGGGGGCGGAGAGGGCATGTCCCATCCTGCGGGCTGGCAGGGACGAGATGATGATTTTGCCCCCACAAATTTCGGGAGGCCCCTTTTGCTTAAACTAGAGGTTTTGTAACTGTACTTTAGACCAAGGAGGTGCATGGTTCAAGACGATAGTTTCTGAATCAGGAGAGCCTTCGATGATCTATGTAGCATATGCTCTGGATGAAGAAGCCCTATCCTGTATTGAGGATAGGAGCCTTCCTTATAAATGCGACATCTTCGCTGGCACGAGAGGTCCACGTTAAAGACCAGGATACCAATCCAGGATACCAATATCAAGAGGTCCTATTCTTGAATGAGAGGTCTCATTATATAGAGAAAATAGGGGCCATATTTAGGAGCCTTTTTATTGGGTAGGTAAGCCCGCTGTATTAGTTAGAAGTCCCTGACCTGAATTGTTCTCATGGTCGATGTGTATGTACACGGATATATAATGCAGCAATTTGATACGAATGGCTCATGCATCCAGCACTCTCCTGGAATACGACACCGCCCAGGAGGCAACGCCGTTGGAAGGTCCACGTTGTCCAGGAGAACCCCTAGAAAATAATACCCCACCCCCAAGTCAACACCTGTGGCGCCGCCTCTGGTCCAGGGTTGTCCAAAAACTCTCACAGCCCCGGCACTGAGAATGCAGCACCCTTAGCAGTAGTGAATACTTAGTTCTGAACTATGGTTATAATTGTCCATATTGCGACAGGCTGAAACGGGTTTAATTATGTGAAGCAGATATGCTGCAGGTATTCTGATGGCCTGCTCCCATGGCAACGGTTTTTCGGGTTACTTTTTCGTATGAGTGTTAACTTTCGTAACGCCTACGGTTTCGTTCCATTGTACTAAGGGCGGCCTGGTGCCAGTTGATTTCGACCGGCGTTTGATGACATTTTGAATCGATCTGCCACTCTTCCATAACACAGGACTACTTTTCGAAGGACTGGACCAGAGTAGCGGCTCCACGTCGCGTGGTGTTGCTTGGAACTCGGGCTGTGGCAGCTTCTCGGTGAACGGTAGCCATGCAACCTTTTACAACGTGCACCCATTCCGATGGAACTCCGCCACATTTGATCGGACTAAATGCACGGATCAATAGACCGGTTGACTGGACGCCTTATTAAGTCCGAATAGTAAGCAATGGATCGTGTTTCTATCGCTGCGCCAATTCTTCACAGGGAAGCAGCACGGCAAGCCGGTGGAGTGGATGGACGCGGCCGGCCAGGAGGTGGCGCTCTGGGAGCAGATGATCGAGCGACCCGGCTACTGGGTCGAGGGGGCCGTGCCGCTGCGCTGCTCCATGGAGCGTGCCGTGCCCGTCGACAAGTGACTCACGCCGGCCGCCTGCGGCCCACCCGCACCACATCAGGATCTCTGCCCGCTACTAGTGTCCCCTTGTAGTTATCTGTCGGGCCAGGGCGGGCCGTCGGTGGCGCCCGCGGCGCCGTGCGACCCTCGGAGTCAGACCGGCGCTCGCTGAAGCCGCCGCCGCCGCGCCGCGGCGGCGGCCTCAATGTCAGCAGTCTGCCCCGGGCCGGATGTGTTCCATGTCGGCCGGTGTGGCGCCGCCGCAATGTGTCATTCCAGTTGTGATTGGGCCCGGAATGCGAGTGATTTCCTATGGTGATTCTGGAGCGCGCGCCGCTCGCGGGCGAGTCCGCGAAGCGACCACGCGTGGACGCGTCATGTCGTGGCACGTGCCGACTGCCGCACGGGCCCGGACGGGGCCCGGCCGGGCCGCGCGCCGGCGGCGGCTCGTGTTATCTGTGATAGCCGGCGGTGCGGCGCGCGGCGAGCGGTGGGAGCGCGCGTGGCTCGCGGGCGCGCCCGGCCGACGCTGTGTTCTCCTGCTGGTCGTCAGCCCGCCGGCAGCGATCCCGGCCGCCGCGTGCTGCCCCTGCACTGTATCTGTGTCAACGCTGCGTCCACATATATATGTATATGTAATACAGTATCATCGTTGAGGACGGCCGTAAGACGTGAATGCGATGTAACGTTTTAGAGCGTCCGTGTAGCCATATTTGTAAGTGGTGTTCAAAACCGTAAGAGGAAAGCTGCGTAATTTATTAAAATAGAATTACCTACTCAGCCAAAACAAAAAGAAGGCTGAAGTGGACCCTGTGAAGAGGAAACTACATGTAGAATACTTGGTCGGCGTAACAGAGCACGGAGAGTACGGCAATGCCAACCAAAACCTCGCCACAGGCTCAAGCCGCTTTTCGCTCTTGCTGTTATCTGTCGAAAGCCACTACGCAGATATGTTAGAAAGGCGCTGGCTGCACCGGGAGATCAGGGACTGCTGATCCCAGCTGTTCCCACTGGCGCTAACAAACCAGTCAGGATGGGAGACCGATGAGACGACCTCGGTATCCGATCCCAGCTCTTTCCACTGACGCTGACAAACCAGCCAGGATGGGAGACCGGTGAGACGACCTCAGTCTCTTCCATTGACTCTTGGATGGATGGGAGGCCGGTGAGACGACCTCAGTCTCTTCCATTGGCTCTTGGATGGATGGGAGACCGGTGGGACGATCTCAGTCTCTTCCATTGACTCTTGGATGGATGGGAGACCAGTGAGACAACCTCAGTCTCTTCCATTGACTCTTGGATGGATGGGAGACCAGTGAGACGACCTCAGCAGTGACGCCAGCCAAGACAATCGGGAAACTCGGGCTTGAGTTGCATCACATAAACTCCCTCTCCAGCATCCTGAATATTCATGATTTGCCCCAACATTTTGTCACCTCAGTTGTGGCCCCAGCTCGCCGAACGATATGAGCCAGTATCATCTGGGCAACGTTGTTGATCACTCATTAGAAGAGGCATCTTGACAGGCGTCATTACGTCAGTACATTCGCCTCGGCAAATCAATGAAACAGAGAACACAGCACGCAAGGCGGGCCTGAATGTCTCGCAAGAGATATGATGAGCCTAGCTGTCAGGCTGTCTTGGATCTGGTAACCGTAATGACCGTTAGCCCATTCGAGCAATCACATGTGACAGTCCCTGGTGAAGCTCCATTAACGGTTATCGCATTTCGACCTCAGACCGAGCTTAAAGAGCTCCAATTCTGATTGAGCCACATGACGAAGTGACATATTTTCTTCAATGAATCCTCAATGGCCAATCGCTACGCTGTTTTTTTTTTCTGTGGGCAAATTGCAACCTGTTATAATGAGATTGTATGTCTGACATTAGTTATAGAGTGGATAACTGGGCACAGTGACTTTGTGCTGACCAAAGCCGTAGCTAAACATCCTTTCTAGCAGTGAGGCACACGCATACAGTCGCAGCTGAGAGTCTGGCCTCAGCTGTGTTCCCCTGTCGCGCACTGGTACCAATATCCCTCAATGTAGTGGCGCACTTCAATCCCCTGATGTAGATGTCAGCACTATATGCATGGTATAGATGGCAGCTCTATCTTTTCCTGCCGGTCATGAGCAAAGCACTGCAAATACGCACAATTTGATACATTTTTGCGGGATGACAATCGGCGTTTTGCGTAGATATCTGCTTCACGGAAAATACGACTATTTGACGGCGCCATTCAAGCTGTAAGGACGCCACTGCTGCTCTGCGGACAAAAACACTATATGAAAAACCACGTAGCCAAGCAACGCAATGATGCATCATTCCATGCCCATTTTTCAGGAGATCGCCATTTGGTCACACAAAGCACGGTTGAGGTGTATGATATTGCCAACAGGAAGTCACGGAATAGGGATTCTTGAGGTGTTTCAGGGCCAGTGAGACAGACGGGGTCGAGGCAGGCAAGGGATTCCATCTCGGCCACAGCGTATGTAATTTGCAAGGCAGCCAACGGGCAGGCAGTCACTGTTCCGACCTAAGAACAATGCTTGCATCAAAATTGATAGAGAAATTTGTAGAAGATCAGTGAGACCCGAGGTGGCAGCATGTCAGTGCAACTGATACCCCGAGGCGGTTACAGTGTCTTACCTGATCAGGAAACCCCCAGATCTTGTCGGCAGCTCCGAAGGCCAGCCATTCAGTCACCAGACCACAGGGCGCCTTCAACTGATATCAGTAGCCCTATCAATAGCGTACAACGGCGTTTAAGGCGTTCAGGTGTGCCTGAAGTAACCCCCTCCCCACTCCCACCCGTTTACCACCGAGCAGCGTCAAGCTGTCTCGATAGGTTACACGGTCGCAGGGGCGGTCAGCAGATCCCATGACAATTGCTTTCCGCGGCAGTCACAGTTCAAGGAATTTGCACGAATATCAAGAGCATTCCAGCCACTCAGGACCTCACCCCTTGCCATCCAATGCGCGGCACTGTGATAAGGGCTGGCCGAAACACAGGGGGCTCAACTTTCGGCTTCGATGACAAGTTCCGAGCAAAAGGATAGAAACAAACTTGCCGGCGGGTGTAAGCGTTCGATTCGGCTAGAGAACCATTCCTAAACGGGTTTACGAAACGTTGGTGTTGGAAAAGCAAATCATATTGCTCAAAAGCTAGGCGTAAGAGCGTCAAGGTACCTAGACGATGTTTGCATGTTCAGTCCCAGGGGAAGATTATGACTGTTCAACAATTCTTACATCCTGAGCTTCGCATGATCTTTTGCTGTTCCTGACATTTCTTCTCCACGGTGGGCATTTGTTGCACCATGCTCCGGTTCCGAGTAGCAGGCTACCATGTATTTGCAGTGTTGTGTACCCTCGCCGTAAACGTGCGTTTCCAAGGTGTTCATGACACCGATCATGAACACTACGTTTTGCTTTGACTTAATAAAATGTTCCTGTGCAGATAGTACAAAAGACCTTACATGCCACATTTTTCTGTGTGCGTTTTTCTTTCAGCCGATGTGCATATGTGTGGCGACCATAGTGACATCTCGACATCTTGACAAGCTGGGTCTCTAGGGCTGGTCGAACTAACATGAATTTAAACTTCACATCGCCAATCGATGCTACCCTAAGGCCGTGCACAGCACTCGATGGTACGCTTGTTTATCTTACCTGTTCACAGCTTTGTCTCAAAACGGATGCATTGTTAAACAGGGCGTCTAATGATTTTTAAATGAGGGGCACAGCTCAAAAATGAAATCCAAGTAAAACGTGCCACAGGCACGCGCAATTCTTGTGTCGTAAAACGGCATCGTACGTTCTCGGTCATTTTTTACGTTCTTGCCTGACATCGTTGATCGTGATCATATAATCGCGTACGCCTCAATATATGTCCTTAAGTTGGAAGGGAGGGGCTTCCATGTGCGCACCCTTTGTTTTTAAACAAAGAATATGCTGTGCAAGTGGAGAGCATCACTTGGTGTTCGAAGTACCTGATTTCACGGAAACAAGGATAATTTATCGTGACTCTGTTCACACGGCTGGAAATCAGAAGATGCACGCATTGAGCTTCGCGCTTTTGACATAAAGCCTGCTTCCTTAGCACAGTCATGAAGATGTCCCGACTTATGGTGCAGCATGACGGCGAGTCAGGGGTTTACAGTTCAGTTAGCCCGTACAATCTTTAACGCATTGCAGTACACACATGATGTCGAGGAATGGAATCAACATGTGTTATGTGTTGTGCTCCAGATTGAGAAAAATGTTGGCGTGGTGTTAATAGAATTTTGCGAAGCAGCATGACTGTGAACACAGCTTTAAGCATCGAGTTTTCACCCCGCTATACCCATTGCTAGCTCAATAATGGCATCTAAACAGCGCCCCGTTGCAAACTAAATGTCGATTATTTTCAGCGAACTCTCAGCTCATATGTCCAGCCATCACGGCCGCATGACCTTCCTTGCTTATATGAACTTCAAACTCATGTCAAAGTGCTGATCATGTTGTTTGTCAAGACAGACATTCTATTGGCCGGTCCGGTCCACTGGCCTCCATCTATTCTGTCCTTCCAGTCATCGATATGTCTGTTGACGTGCATGTTTAGTGCCACTTCTACGTGTAGGCACTTCCTGGTAGTGCACATGACATATTGGTCGTATCCTCGCCAGAGAAAATGTATCACGTGCACTTTGCTCCAGTCTGTGCGTGTCTGGCCACGTTGTCTGTTGTTGTTGTCAGTTGTCTGATTCTGCATGTAACTGTCTGTTGCGATCCGGACCACCTTCCGTGAACGATAAACGAGTCCTGTTTCCGGTGGTCATATCGTACCGTATTACTAAGCTGTCTGTGATTCGCATCAATTATAGCTGCTGTTAACACAAGCTGCTGCTGCTAAGCACAAGCCCACACAAGCTCCTCACAAAAATGCTGTTTGACATCGGGTTGGAATAGGATGCCATTCTTCCGTAATAACAGAGCTGCCATTTTTAGGAGCCTTGCCTTCTTTTAGGAGACCCTGTAATATCGACTACCGCGAAGTTTTTCATGGAAATATGTTCCTTGCAGCTATGAGATCCAAATTACCTCGCTTGCTAGTTGTGCAACTTTGAGCATCTTTACGAATCCACGACAGCAGCCGCCGCTGTTTTGAATTTTGGTCGAGTTTGAAAGATTTTTTCTAGATGGCTTGGAAGGTCATGCGACACCACTTTTGAAGGATTTTCAATAGCAGATTTTCATTTATGCAATTCTTTTTTCGCGCATGAGGTCAAATTCAAGGTAAATTAAGGGTCAAAGGCCAAAGTTGATCACAAGTAATGAAAATCAACTCTTTTGAACAATATGTGCCGTTCGCTGTCTTCTCGTACTCATTGTACGGGTACCACTCGCAGAGACTGCATGTTTTATATACTATAATTAGATAAACGTATGATACGCATACGACGCATGTGCTAAAGAAGATGTTTTTTCACTTAATTGGGTAGGCATAGTTGAGTTGCAGTCCTCATGCTTCTTATGTGAGAACCTGCAATTGCAACTACCACGAACGTTTAACGAAAATCTTACATGCGACTCATTTTATGTAGCTAGGAGAGCCAATTTAGCTTGGTTGCTCCTTGCACAATTTTGCGCACTTCTTGTCTTTCCGCCGCCATCTTGA